TCACTCGGAATTCAGTTATTATATCACTACTAACTGGTTACATCAGTGTTTATTCCCGGAAGTTATACACTGTTTTCTTAACATTGATATTTTTTCCCTAGGAAATTTGAAAGATTCCTCGTAATTGCGTGAACAGTGCAGATAATGTTTGCTATGTTTGAGGAGAATTGACGTTTGCATCGCAAAAGCTTGTTATAACTGCCGTGATTAGGAAACCCAATCTCACCTTAATTTTGGTTGTAAAATTGGAGATCGGGCCAAGACATGAGGCCAAGACATGTTGCAATACTGGCAACGTTTGCCATTAATTCCAGTGTGTTGCAGTTACATGAAGGAAACGCATGACAACATGAAGCAGATTTTGAACTGCATAAACTATTTAAAAACACTAATGACAGCCTAGTGTCGACTTTAAAGCTGATACCTTGTTGTGACTGCAGCTATGCTACACTAAGTATTGCTGTTTCTGTGTGAATTTTATACTCGGAGAACTTCTCGTCACATCAAGATTGACCACTTCGACACTCGTTGAAATCTGGAATAAATTTTTTTCAATATTCTTCACCTGAAGAGTCAGGATTTCACTACCACCTTTATGTTTCAAACTACTGGCTATAAAAAATAAGGCAATGGAAAAAACGGCTGCAGCATTCAATTATTTCGGTGGTACATTCCCAAGACTCGTGAAGCAAAAATCATAGAGGACGTATTTATTGGTCCACAGATTCGCGAGCTTCTTAAGAGAAGAGTTTCATTGCATCGTAGCTGGTGAGGAGAAAAATGGGTGGAATGGTCTCCGGTTAGCAGCAACCAATTTTTTCGCAATGGTCAAAGCTGACAATTACAGGATCTACTGGAAGATCTGCTATGGAACTATCAAAAATGGGCTGCAGTATGCCTTAATTTAAAGATACATTTCCATTCTCACCCCGTTTATCGCAATCTGTGAAACAGCAACGCTGAAAGTTTCCAACAGGATATCCCAGTCATGGGATGTCCTGTTGGACATCCAGAGGGAAATGGAGTCCATCACTGATAGCAGATTACTGCTGGACACTAACAAGAGATGCTCCAGTAGTGGAACACAAGTGATGAGCGAAGAAGCCTCAGGGTGAATCCGTGTAAGTACATTCATTATGCAGGTATGTTAAAATATATTGTATACATACACACAAAATGTATAAATAAATTTTCTTGAAAACTTTGACCAATCGACTGTTATTTTGGTCATGTTCGTTGTCATCGCCCAATTATTAATTACCTTTTTTTCTCAGAAGCACAGAATTGTAGACCAGTGTAATAGAATTTTAGTAATACTAATTTTTGCAATTTATTTATAACTGTATACAGATAGCCCACACATAGGAGAGAGGAGCTTACAACGACGCTTTGGTTCGAAACGTCGTCGTTAGCTCCTCTCTTCTATGTGCGGGTTATTTGTGTATTGTTAAAGTCACGGACTTTGCTTTTTTATTCTTTATAACTGTTTCTCTTATAATTGAGTTTTACGACTGTTATTACGTTCATGGAAAATCGATAAACCTGTAGGGGTCAAACAGTGCCTGAGGGAATTGGTAGTCATCAGTACCGATCTGAGGACAAGGGGGGACTAATTCCTTTGATCGAGAGTCACCAACTTAACGTAAATATCTAGATGAGAGTTGGGAATTAGTATACATAATCTGGCTGATTGTAGGTTAAAAATCTAATGCTTTATACATAAACTTTACATAATTTTACAATAATTATTGGCTACAATTTATGAAATTACATTTATGAAGGCCCTTGTGTTGGCATCGTTTCTGAATATCAGATTCCCTTTTTTCTCGTTTTCTAATCTCCTTGGTATCCCTGGGTTCTCCGGTGTTATCTACATCCACAACAACAAGAGGCAGAAATAACTTTCTACACCGATAACATCACGGAAAAGGCAGCAGTAATTTTCTACAACGATAACATCACTTGAGAGGCAGCAGTATTTACACCCTCATCAAGTAAGAGGCAGCAGTGACTATCAACACAGTTAACATCACGAACGAGACAGGAGTAAGATCACCAACATTACGTAAGCCACAACAGTATCTACACAACACATAAGAGGCAGCAGTAACTAAGTTAACGCAAGTTTTTTTTCTCCCTTCTCCTCACTCATCAGTTCACAATAAGTTACCAGCAAGTATCGGGATCTCTATTCACGCCACGTACCGGCCACCAGCCACGGCGTCTCTCCCACTTAATTCACTAGAGATGCTGCCGCTCTCCCTCTTACACAAGGACCTTCCACTCTGCTACTTGCCACACACTAACTACTGCCTACTGCCACTTACCATTCATCAGTTACCGCTTCCCTGCCATCGTACAATAATCATTTTCTCCAATGCTTCTGCTGTGTACCACACAGCCATTACGTAGCTGTAAGTAGATACCCAGAACGTCATTCGACTCTTTTGTGTCGCATCCTTGGGAAGAAAATCTTAATGAAGATCACAAACGATATAAGCCACATTGCTCGGCTTTCTTGGACTATCCGTTGTTACTAAACGGGATTAGAAATCGGAATAAAGTTTTCTTCCGTGACCTTCGTAGAAGGCCCCTCAAGGAAGGTTCCTTGATGTTGGTGAGGGGCTCTTGATTTAGGGAATTGGATCTGTGCTCCAGTTCCCCGAATTAAGCCTGAATGCCTTCCACATCCCCCCCCCAGGCGCTGTATAATCCTCCGGGTTTAGCGCTTCCCCCTTGATTATAATAATAATAATTTGTAGAAGGCATGTAGGAAACAAGGTTTTATTTGGAAAACGCTTTGATCTTGCTAGACCTTTATCAAGTGATGACTTGACAGAACCACTAAACAGAGAGATACGTTGTCCCAAATAAAAGATTGTTCTGCGATAAGTATTTTTCTTAGTCGGCAGTACGCCATTAGGAGACAAGTTCCCCTACCACACAATTTACTCCTCTACATGGCACTGACATGGAGCCGCCTCCCTTGTCATTACAACTACTTAGTGCCACACTTGCTAGATAATTCTTTATTAACCTACAGCCAGCACTGTTAACTTTTTTTTCGTCAGCTAGTTACAGCTTGCTTACTAGCTTAGTTACTAGCTTGCTTACAAATGAGCACCACGTCAATGTTATTCAAACACCGCCTTTCTTGTTCAGTACAAAGATACTTAGCGTAGAGCAAATTTCATCAAATTACTCTTTTTAATTATTGTAATATTCATGGGTGAAGCACTAAACATAAAAACATAAGAATGGAGGAACACTGCAGAAGGCCTACTAGCCCATACAAGGCAAGTCCTTCTCAAAACCCACGAGGCTCGTGAAAAGCCTGGGGAATTGGAAAGAAATTAGGCCTCAGCAGAAGATATTTTCCAAAAGGTCTCCTCATTCTTCGAGGAAGAATGTCGTTGAAGAATGTGTGTTATCATATTAATCACTGGAAGAATGTGTCTGCATGCAGTTGATGGCGCACCAGCTATGTTCGGAATTTCGCTCAGGATTTACAAGCCGAATGAGCGGTGAGCCTAAATATAGAAGAAAAAAATCACTGCATAATTCATGAACGTGCTGTGGCATCCAAGACACGAGCTTAGAGAGGTTCTAAATCATGCTGTCAAAATGGCACACGCTATTAAATTCACTGCTGTGTATAATCGGCTCTCTCGCCTGTTGTGCCTAGATTTAGGCACGGCTTTTCCACACTGAGGTGCGATGACCCTCAGTCACGTAGCTGCTAGATTTAAATCTCTGAGATAGAATTATTTTTATATTTAGGGTGAAGCACTAAATCCGTATGGGGTCATACTGGGTATGGGGGAATAATGAGGCTAGAACCAGGAATGAAGAGCCCCTTATCAGCACCAATGAATCTCCCCTAAGGGGTATGAGACAAGAGATTACTGAATTCTCCTCTCGTGGTGGCCAAACAGTATCTCGGGTTTTCTTTGAAAATCTCTGACAAGGATTGACAGTTGAAATTAGCGCACGTTAAAAATTTTTTCGTGAAAATAAGCCATGTCACGAAAAGGACAGTTCACAACACTGATGTCGCTGATAAAATTAGGCCATTCATCATGAAACTAGAATTGTTAAAATGTCAAGGTAGGAAAATTTGGCATGTTAAGAAGTTGGGTCACAGGTCTTCAAGACAGACACACCGGCTATGTTGACCTCAGAAAGCTTATTTAGGCTCGCTTCTTCCCTGCGTACAGAAATTAAATTATACTTTCTAAACTTAATAGAGGAAAACGTAAAATTCAACTTAATTCATGACTTAATTTATGACTACACTGTTTGGGATGCCCACTGTCTGGGATGCCCACTGTTTGGGATGCCCACTGTCTGGGATGCCCACTGTCTGGGATGCCCATGTTTGGGATGCAACATTCACAATACAGTGACTGGAACAATATTCACAATTCATTCAGAGATTTAAAATAAAAAGTGGGTGATGTTTCGGTCCCTTCTGGACCCTGATCAAGCTACGAGTTTTTATTTCTAATTTGTGGTGAGATGTTATAATACAGCAGAAGATGGACATCAGCAGGTAAATCCCTTCATACTTGTGAAGGGCTCTTGATTCGAGAAACTGGAATTATTCTCTCCTTCCTCGGATCGATAGCGATTACCTTCCATTCACCCCCTAGGTGCTGTATATTCCATGTGTGTTTAAAGCTTCCAATAATATAATACATGGAACGGGCATTTGTACTATCTGTACATCCTGTACAACCCTTAATGTACTATCTGTACAACTTTTACATCTTGTACAGCCCTTACATACAGTACTATCTGTACAACTTTTACTTCCTGTACAACCCTTACATACGGTACTATCTGTACAACTCTTAACATCCCCGGACCACCCTTATATTCTGTACATGTACAAGAAGTATTTCCTGTACAACCCGTTCAACCTGCCCAAACTATACAACGTGTGCAAGCTAGTAAAGAGAATGATCAGGTCGTGCAGAAAGTGTCAAAGGAGTACACACCTGATCATCACTGACCTGGTGGTCGGCCAGGTGACGGTACTTGCAGGGAAGGAAGGCAGTAGCTCCCAGCTGCACCGTCACGTTAGTCACGGAATTGTTGGCGAAGTTGGCTTTGGGCAGCAGGTGCCTGATCTCCGACACCGGGTCCTCCGTCGACGTGTCTGTGGGGTACGATAAGTGTTAGAGTAAAGCATGCTGCCCAGATAGGAAGACAAGACCGAGGTAACGTTTCCGATCCATTAAAATCTTATAGTCTCGAAATAAAAAAAATATATATAACATACTTTAAAATTTTGGATTTTTAAGTCCAAATTGTATTCATGATTGTGTTTTATCAATTATATCTGTATATATAATAAAGAATGTATTTTAAATTTTAGGGTGGTAGGAGAAGAAAACATTCAAACAGCTCTGGGGAGAACTTGAGTTTTCCTGAGGTATTATTGTCTTCTCTGAGGATGAGGGTATAGTCCAGTTATAGAGGTGGTACTCCCTAAAGAGAGATATATATATATATATATATATATATATATAATATATATATATATATATATATAATATATATATATATATTATATATATATGTCGTCCCGAATAGGCAGAACTTGCCATCTTGGCTTAAATAGCAACGCTCATCTTGCCATATAGGGCAAGTGAAAATTTGTGTATGCGATAATTTCGCCAAAATCATTCTGAACCTAACGAAAAAAATATATTTCACTGTGTTTAGTATTAAATTATTGTAACAAATCTAAAATATATTTAGTTGGGTTAGGCTAAAATAAATTATTGTTGTTATAATAAGGTTAGGTAAGTTTTCTAAGCTCCTTTTGGTGCAAAATTATAAATTTTTACATCAACATTAATGAAAAAAAATATATCTTTAAACGTATAAGAGAAAATTTTAGAAAGGAATTAATTTTAAACGAGTTCTTGCTAACTGACCAGTTTTACATATTCGGCATGACATTATATATTTTATAAAATATATTATATATATATATATATATATATATTATATATATATATATTTGGAAGAAACCACAATATAGAAAATACCACAGTGAAATAGGAAATTAAAACCTGAGCCCTTTCATGTACTTACACACATCTTCAAAGGAACAGGAAGAACAGGCAAGAGAAGCGCATTTTAAATTTTAAACACTGAAGTGACAACACCTCACACTAACATGTCCTGCTCATACCTTTACCCAACACGAAGTTAAACTGTTCGTATGACAAAGAACACACTTCATTTTTGTCAAAAATATTTTGACCTTTAAGATTATGAACAATATTCTAGAATATAAAATAGTCAAGTTTATAGATACCAGAAATCAAATTTGAAAATATGGTGTGCATGCTTAATAAGAGATGATTTTTATATTAATATAAAAATTAAATAGATACACCACTTAGTAATATTACTTCCCTCCCTTCTCTTCCCCCTCCCTCTCCCCCTAAATTCCCTCCCTCTCATATCGTACCTCCCCTTCCACGTCCCTTGTCTCTCTCCCACCTCTTCTCTCCCTCCCATCTACCTTCCCTCCCTCCCACCTACCTACCCTCCCTCTTTCCCATCTACCTTCCCTCCTTCCCACCTACCTTCCCTCCCTCCCACCTACCTTCCCTCCACCCTCCCACCTACCTTCCTTCCCCCCTCCCTCCCACCTACCTTCCTTCCTTCCTCCCTCCCACCTACCTTCCTTCCCTCCCCCCCACCTACCTCCTTCCCTCCCCTCCACCTACCTTCCTTCCCTCCCTCCCACCTACCTTCCTTCCCTCCCTCCCACCTACCTTCCTTCCCTCCCACCTACCTTCCTTCCTTCCCCCCACCTACCTTCCTTCCTTCCTCCCCTCCCTTTCCCCCCCACCCTACCTTCCTTCCTCCCTCCTCCCACCTACCTTCCTTCCCTCCCTCCCACCTACCTTCCTTCCCTCCCTCCCACCACCTTCCTTCCCTCCCCACCTACCTTCCTTCCCTCCCTCCCCTCCTCCTCCCTCCCTCCCACTACCTCCTTCCTTCCCACCTTCCTCCCTCCCTCCTCCCACCCTCCCTCCCACCTACCTACCTTCCCTCCTTCTCCCTCCCCCCTCCCACCTACCCCCCTCCCTCCACCTACCTTCCTTCCCTCCCCTACCCTTTCCCCCTCCCACCTACCTTCCTTCCCTCCCTCCCACCTACCTTCCTTCCCTCCCTCCCACCCTCCTTCCCTCCCTCCCCCCCCCTCCCTCCCTCCCATACCTTCCCTCCCTCTCTCCTTTTCTCTCACTGAAGCTGTAAAGGAAAAGACTTCTCAGAGGTGTCGACGGGTTTTTTAATCAAGCATTTCCTTCGTTTCCTCTCCTTTATTTTTTTCACTTTGTCTCTGTCACTCTCACTCTCTCTCTCTTTCGCTCACTCCTTATTCGCTTCTAATATCTTTCTTGTTTTCACTCGTAGGTCTCACTTTCTCTCCCATTCTAAATACGTGTTTCTCCCTTACTCATTGTAGTTCTCGCTGTTTCTGGTCATTGTCTATTTCTCGCTAGCTTTCCTAATGTGTCTCTCATTCCCTTTCTCATTCTCTTTTTCCCGTGCTCAATGTTCGTTCCTATTAATACATATTTCTTACTAGTTTCTCGCTTTCTTCATCTCTATTTCTTCAGTACTTAATTATATTTTCTCTTTCTATATGTTTCTTTCCATTTAACATTTTTCTCATTTCCTCATCATCTCATTCTCGTAGGAAACATTAAAAAGATCCATTTAAAACAATATTCTGAAATAAACAAGATATAACTAAGAACGGATAACTGAAGCAAAAAGTGAGAATGTTTGTGTGTTTTGCGATCCGCTAAAAGGGTCAAGATTCTTAATTCTCTCGCATTTGCAAACTTATAAATGACTACGTAAATTTGACAAAGAATATTCCTGTCTATCAGGTTGAAATTCTAGCTGGTAGGTTTTCGAAATTCGGCCAGACACTAACTACTTCCTGATGTTCTATTGAAAATCCATTGACAAAAGTTTGAGAGTGCTGATTTTTGATGACTGAATGTGTGTGTGTGTGTGTGTGTGTGTGTGTGTGTGTGTGTGTGTGTGTGTGTGTGTGTGTGTGTGTGTGTGTGTTAGCTTTTCCATTCGACTGATATCGAAAAAAAACAGAATCGGAAAAATTATAAAGTGGAAAAATTAAGTTAATAAAAAATAATTTTGAAAGAAAAAAGAAAATAAAAACACACTGATAAAGGCCCAAATCCGACCGAAAGGGAATAAAACTGGCAGCCAGTGTTTGGCTATGCGGTGAAAAATTACATTAAAATGAAATTTCTGACAGTCAAAATAACAGATCAGAGTGGAGACATTTTTTTTTTAAGGATTAACGTCGTGTTGGAGCGAGAGCTTGATAACGTTAATGATAGCATTCAGTGGGAAAACCTTTCAGAAGGACTAAGTCCAGCGAGTGTGAGGTACTCTCTCAAGCAGGGGCGGGATTATAGTAGTTCAAAGCATTTTCAAAACTTTTGGAGATATAGCTATCGAGTAAATAATAGTGACACGCTTTCCTTTTTTTTTGGGGGGGGGGGGTCTAGGGTAACACTATTTTGGTGGGAGACGGCTGTTGTGTTAGAAATTATTATAATTGCTACCACTATTACTGATACTACTACTGCTAATAATAACAATAATAATTTTATTTAAAGCCCTAAACCCGTATGAGTTATCCCACGCAAGGAAGAGCGGAATCTCGACCATCCAACTGCTAAAATCACCACGTACCAGCTATTGAATTACCCATGTACGAAAAAAATATCCAAGATAAATCAACGTAATGACTGTGTGTGTGTGTGTGTGTGTGTGTGTGTGTTGTGTGTGTGTGTGTGTGTGTGTGTGTGTGTGTCGCAAGTAGCTGGGTAGATCAGGTCATTGCCCTGGAGAGTCATTACAGAGACTGGCAACCATAAAAGATGTCATCACAGAAGCTACGAAGCAAAAAAAAAAAAAAAAAAAAAAAAAAAAAAAAAAAAAAAAAAATCCTGAAGGTTTTCCTTGAGAGGGAGACGTTTGGCTGCTTAGTTCGGAGATGTCTTTATTTTTAAATCTCAATCTCAATCTCTCAATCTATCTCTCTATCTCTCTCTCAATATATATCTCTCTCCTCTATATAATATATCTCATATATATATTTTATATATAATCTCTATATATATATTCTCTCTCTATATATATATATCTCTATATATATCTCTCTCTATATATATATCTTCTCTTATATATATATATTTCTTATATATCCTCTATATATATCTCTCTCTATATCTCTCTCTCTATATATATCTTTTATATATATCTCCTTATATATATCTCTCTCTCTAAAATATAAATATATATATATCTATATCTTCTCTCTCTATATATATAATCTCTATATATATATATATATATTCTCTCTCTCTCTCTATATATATATATATTTTATATATATATCTCTCTCTATATATCTCTATATTATATAATATCTCTCTCTCTCATATATATATCTCTCTCTCTTCTATATATATCTCTCTCTCTCTATATATATATATCTCTATATATATATATTCTCATATATATACTATATATTTTATATCTAATATATATATATATCTATATATCCTCTCTCTCTCTTCTCTATATCTCTCTCTCTATATCTCCTCTTATATATACTCTATCTCTATCTCTCTCTCTCTAATTTCTCTTCTATCTCTCTCTTCTATCTTCTCTCTCAATCACTCTCATCTCTATCTCTACTCATCTCTCACTCTCTACTCTCTCTCTCATCTCTCTCTCTATATCTCTACTCTCTATATCTCTCTCTCTATATACTCTCTCTATATCTCTCTCTCTATATCTCTCTTCTATTCCTCTCTTATATCTCTCTCTCATATATCTCTCTCTCTATATCTCTCCTCTATACTCTCTCTCTATATCTCTCTCTCTATATCTCTTCTCTATATCTCTACTCTATATCTCTCTCTATAAAATCTCTCTCTCTATATCTCTCTTATATCTCCTCTCTATATCTCCTCTTATATATCTCTCTCTCTATATCTCTCTCTCTATAACTCTCTCTCATATCTCTCTCTCTATATCTTCTCTCTATATCTCTCTCTCTATATCTCTCTCTATATCTCTCTC